ATGGTAATAATGTAGTATCATGTGACCAGCAACCAGTGTGTAAAATAAAACATCAGACATGCATGACCTATTCACAAAATTAAAAAAAACATTGAAGTATGATGCAATAAAGCAAAATATGCAATGCTATGACCCTTCTTTCTTTGTCATATCCAATTTATAGGTAAACTTAAAAAATGAATATTTGTCTTATATACACACCAAGCTTTAACCTTCACAGTTTCAAATATTTTATAATATGGCAATTTCCTAAGCCCAAGCTGTAACCTGCAAAATCCCCAAAAGATGAAGGGAAACAAGCTTAAATACGCCTATTGTACAATTTTACAGACCAATTCCTGGTTCAAGGTGAGTGAATCTTACCTGTCTTTGATTGGTGTAGCTGTGAGGTCTTTGGTGATGTTTTTGAGTACCTAATGAAGTGAGCAAAATCTTCAACATTCACGACTGTTCCTGATTATTAATGATTGCAGCTATTGATCATATTGATCTCCAGCATTACAAATCACCATTCATCTTCAATATTACTAATACTCTTTAACACTGTGTCCAAATTGCACATAGTGGAACCCAATCCTCTAGTTACATCCTGAAGCTCCGGTTCTTCAAAAAACTTTGGATATTGAGGTTTGTTTATTAGCAGTATTTTACAATCAAAATGAGGTTGTTTATTCTTAGAGAGATGGAAACTGTGAGAGCATTGGATCTTGTGATGAATGAATAACCCCTTTTGCCAAATACTACGCTACAGTATTTCATGCTTCAGATAGTACAATGTGACACAAAGTAAGAATCTCAGCTATAGTCGGAAATTCTGAGTTATTATTAGCATTTTAGTGCTGTTATTGAAACCCGCAGAGAACTGTCTACTTCCTACACCAGGCTTTGCTTCTTGAAGTTGTGTTTGTGAAGCTAATCTATAAAAATTACAAATAAAATATCCACTTTTACCATCTACAATCATTTGTTTCCAGTTTCCAATAATAATATTAATAGCAACAATAACATAAACCAAACAAACCATCCCCAAACATCTAAAGTCTGTGTACTTACCACGCGCAACTTGGCCGAGGTTCGGGAGAGAAACGTCCTCTGAAATGGGGTGGAGGGGCACGAGGTCCACAGCACCCAGCCTCGGATGGACACCCTCGTGGTGACTAAGGTCTATTAGCTCGTAGGCTTTTTCACACGCAGCTTCTACGCAAGGGCCTGAAAGAGTCATTGGATTAGATTGACCATGTTCTTAAAGTGATGAATGGAGCCTACTCAACAGAATAATGTGAATCATATATATGATCTGATAATTATGTATGTGGGTTTGGGATGGTGTGTGTGTGTGTGTGTGTGTGTGTGTGTGTGTGTGTGTGTGTGTGTGTGTGTGTGTGTGTGTGTGTGTGTGTGTGTGTGTGTGTGTGTGTGTGTATTCACATGTATGCATGTGTGCCTGCAAGCATTTGAAAACAGTACAAAACTTATAAGTTAAAGATATAGATTACTTTTTGTCATAAATAATGTATCTCAGAGAAATTCAACACAACTGTTCATAACATCTTCTCAAATATAGCTTGAAATTCTAAACACAGCGCACTGGACAATTATAATACATATTTCAACCCATAGAGATGGAACAAAACCCTCTTCTTTAGTATTTGTTAATGCCTTTGTTATTATGTAACATTTAATGTTTGGTATCTTATAGAAAAAAAAAAATTATGAAAGTGCAATCTTATTTTGGATATCATAGCTACGGCAGTCATAACTATCATCAAATACAAGACAAAAGAGACAATACTGCATTAACTGGAACAACAGCAAACATTGAAATTAATTTTCCAGGACAGAAGGAAATGGATTTCATGATGTTGATAATGAAACTATCTATTTCTTACAATTAGCTTCTTTTTCTTTATCAAAAAACATAATCCATGTCACAGAAATCAACGCACGTCCATTTCTATTAAATCTTTGTTACTCCGATCACTTCAGAAAAGGCAGGAGAAATTTTTGCCACGTCATACTTTAGATAAAGTCAAGAGCCTTAACCCCTCAGTGGCAGTTGACAAAAGACTACATTCATCTAGGCTAAAGGTAGGTTTAGGCACCTGGAAAGGAAACTGGATACCTAGATTCATCTGGTATACAGTAAGGAGCAAATTACAACTTCAAGTTTCCCATCACATAACACTTGGTGAATTCAAACACGTAACTCTTCTGCATCTTGCATAGACATAAAATAAGAGAATTCAAAGTCATTTAAAGCAAACGATACATAACATAGTATCAGTTGCTTTTACTTACAGTAATCCCTGGTAGCAGACTGGGTAGAAAACACAAATTTCCATTTCTCAAATAAATTTTGCTCATTAAACACTATTAATTCATCACGGTCACTACCTGATGGAGATTTAGAAAGCTAATGAAAGAAGGGTTTCTACATTGTAAGATGTTTCTTTCTCCCTCATATGGTTTACGACCAAACACTGGTGTTTTAACTCCTTGAGACCATAATTCCTCAATCCTGCCTTCCTGTGACTGAAAAAAAAAAAAAAAAAAAAAATCTCTCATCTCTCACAAAGACTCCTTTGATCTGTGATGTATGTAGAGATAATGTACAAGGTAGTTATGTCTTACACTGGTATATTACATAGTTATCAATCAGTGGAGGGTCAAAAAAGAAAAATGTTACTGCTGATATGGAAATTGCAAGGAGAGAGAGGGAGTGAGGGGAGGAGGGAGAGAGGGAAGGAAGGAGGGACGGACGGTGAGAGGAAGGGAAGAGAGAAAAAGAGAGGAAAGAGAGAGGGAAAGAGAGAGAGAGAGAGAGAGAGAGAGAGAGAGAGAGAGAGAGAGAGAGAGAGAGAGAGAGAGAGAGAGAGAGAGAGAGAGAGAGAGAGAGAGAGAGAGAGAGAGAGAGAGAGAGAGAGAGAGAGAGAGAGAGAGAGAGAGAGAGAGAGAGAGAGAGAGAGAAGAGAGAGAGAGAGAGCAGAGAGAGAGAGAGAGAGAGAGAGAGAGAGAGAGAGAGAGAGAGAGAGAGAGAGAGAGAGAGAGAGAGAGAGAGAGAGAGAGAGAGAGAGAGAGAGAGAGAGAGAGAGAGAGAGAGAGAGAGAGAGAGAGAGAGAGAGAGAGAGAGAGAGAGAGAGTGTGTGAGAGCGAAATCAAGAAAAAGAAATCAAGAAAAAGAAAAAGATAAATAGAGAGAGAGAAAGAGAGAGAGAGAGAGAGAGAGAGAGAGAGAGAGAGAGAGAGAGAGAGAGAGAGAGAGAGAGAGAGAGAGAGAGAGAGAGAGAGAGAGAGAGAGAGAGGAGAGAGAGAGAGAAGAGAGAGAGAGAGAGAAAAAGAAAGAGAGAGGGAGAGAGAGGCAGAGACAGAGAGCGAGCGCAACAAAACATGTATGTATATACATAACCTACAAAAAGAAAATAACAAACTATGAAAGACATATCTGAAAGGTAGGAATGGCATGGTTTTTTTTTATGAGGGGGGGAGGGGGGTGCATATACCAAACTCAATGAGAATTCTTATTATATACTAATCAATAAAGAAGATGTAGAAACACCATAAGACACTTTCACGATCAATTTGAAAACGCAGGATACAAAGGGTAAGAGGGGATTGGAGAATATGAGAGTTCTCATCTTACACAAACTGCTTGCATTCACTCGTCAACAGGGGCACCATGAGGCACTTGTATGATGGGGAAATGCAAGGTAGTTTTAGGGGGGTGTAGCTAGAAGAAACTTGCTTAATAGTATCACAAATTCTTCCACTCCCTACAAACATGAAAACAGCCCACCAGTTTTTCAGGGGCTACTGGTACGTGCTCAGTTGAGCCAGCTTGGATCAAGCATCAAAATCACAAAAAGCTATTGGTCAATTGAATATTCTTGGACTTTCTATATTCAGAATTACATAAACTAATAAATTTGTTCTTTTTGAATAAATAAATTCCCTATAGTGAATTGGTATGTAGAATGCTGAATATATATACTACTGACACTACTTTGAACTAATTCTGACGTATAGTCTTGTGGAAGACAGCAAAGATTTAAGGAAAACTATCTACTATAAATTCACTTTGGAAGAGTTGTTACATTTTAGTGTCTACCTGGAATAGAGAAGTGCCAGCTGAAGAGAAAAAAGAATGCAATAAAAATATATTTAGCAATTACTGTTGCACATTCAGTGTCCCTTGCTGCAACCACAGATCTTATGGTTCTATTCAAGCAAATCAATAGAATAAATAAATTTGCAATCCACCACCCATATGGTCATGGTAACACATGTGTGGAAATCATGTTGAACAGATTGCAAAGGGAACGACGAAGGGAAGCGATAGTGAAAAGGCCTTCGGCATATTCGTGTGTTTTCCCCCCTTCGTCGTTCCCTTTGCATGGTAACACATGGAAATTATATTACATCTAAGAATCTAAAGAAAATCATGATTTATGCTATAAAACTTTTCTGGGAACACATCATCACATACTGCTAATGTTTCAAATCAATCTGCTACTCATAATAATTGCAAATCAATAGAATAAATAAATTTGCAATCCACCAATATGGTCATGGTAACACAAAATCATGTTGAACAGATTGCAAAGGAACGACGAAGGGAAGCGATAGCCTTCGGCATATTAGGATTAACACATCATCTAAGAATCTAAAGAAAAATCATGCTATAAAACTTTTCTGGGAACACATCAGCACATCACATACTGCTAAAATGTTTCTTTTAAAAGCTCTTTTAACAAGCTAATCAAAACTATCATCAAATACTGTCATACTTATAAATAATATTATAATAATGATAGATATGATAATGATGATAATGATAACAATGATGAAGATAATGTCAGTAATAATATTAACAATACTAACAACATATCAGTGTTGATAATTTCAAAATTAATGATAACAATACATATAATTATAACAATAATGATAACAATAACAAAAATAATTATAATAATAATCATTATATCGATATAATAATAATAATAATAAATAATTAATAATAATAATAATAATAATAATAATAATAATAAATAATAATATAATAATAATAATAATAATAATAATAATAATAATAATATAATAATAATAATAATAACAATAATAATAATAATAATAATAATAATAATAATAATAATAATAATAATATAATAAATAATAATAATAATAATAATAATAATAATAATAATAATAATAATAATAATAATAATAATAATAATAATAATAATAATAATAATAACAATAACAATAACAATAACATAATAATTAATAATAATAATAATAATATAATAATAATTATAATAATAATAATAATAATAATAATAATAATAATAATAAAAATAATAATAATAATAATAATAATAATAAAATAAATAAAAAATAATAAAATAACAAAATAATTATATCATCATTATGAAAATAATAATAATAATAATAATAATAATAATAATAATAATAATAATAATAATGATAATAATGATAATAATAACAATAATAATAATAACAACAATAAAAATGCTAATCATCATCATCATTATTAGTATCAATAATAATAAAAATTATAATGATGATGATAATCATCATTATAAGAACAATAACAATAGCAATGATAAAGATAATAACAGTAATAGTAACAGCAATTGTAATACTAACACTAATAGCAACAGCAATAACAATTTAGTGTTAATAATAATAATGATAACAACAAGAACAAGAACAAGAATAACAACAACCACAACAAGAGTAACAATAATAATGATAATGATGATAATAATAATGATATTAATGATAATAATAATAACAATAATATTAATAAAAAAACTAAAAATAGTAACAATAATAATGATAATAATAATAATAATAATAATAATAATAATAATAATAACAATAACAGTAATAATAATAATAATAATAATAATAATAATAATAATAATAATAATAATAATAATGATAATAATAATAATAATAATAGTAAAAATAATAATAATAAAAATTAGCACAACATCTATAGTAGTGACAATAACAATGAAAACAACAATATTAACACATAATAACACCGACTATAACAAGATTTATGACATCAGTGATAAGTGTTTTTTAACATCAACGTACATATTAATGACACTAATAGTAATAACATCAACATACATAATAATGACAATAATAGTAATATCATCAACATACATAATAATGACAATAATAGTAACAACTACATTCATTAAAAACAATAACAACAATGACAACACAGCATCCTTCTTTATCACCACCGCTAAATACTTGCCAGCTACCCACCTATGCAATCTTCACTGGATACTAAGGTAATAACCGATCTGTTGTAGTCAATATCCTGAAATATATTGAGAGCCGTGGCATTGATAGCCCAGTCGGAGGCTATTGGCTTAACCTTTGGCGGATTCACAGCTGCCAGAGCTTCCTTGGCGATTTTCTCCACGACATCTCGCCTCCTCGCTTCGGAGACGTTCAACATGCAGGCTACAAGCTGACGGGACATTTTCTTCCTTTTTCCCTTGGGAGATCTCTGTCTGGTCTTATCGCCTCGTGGATTCTGTTTTATCTGCGCCGCGAGGGTCTTGGCGATTTGTAGTTTTGGCGTTCCGTGCTTTTATCTTCTTCGTTTGTCTGGAGTTTACCTTTTATTGGTGTCTATTTTCTAAAATTCAAGGACTGAGATGATCTTTTGATATTTGTTTACACGGACCAGCTGATGTAGTTTGTTCAATTTAAGTGGCTGTGACTTCGGTTTCATTTTTTACTTTACTTATAATCCAGATAGTAATTTTAACCATCATTTCCCTGCATTACTTCATAAATAGTCTTTTGATTTTATATGATAGTCATTAATGTATTAAGGAAGAGAAATATCAAGTAAAACATATAGAGTACAATTATTTTTGCAAAAGAACGCTTTGTTAGTTCAACTGCCTACATAAAATCAAATTTCCAGAAATGGACAAATTAGCTTTGATTTATTATCCTGCAAATACTATTAGACCCTAAAGTTCACAAATATTACAGAGTAAAAATCAGGAGAAGGATATAGCAACATTTCCTTGCAAAATGCCTGATGAGAAAACGCCATCGAAATATCTTTAAACAACCCTTAAAATATTTATTCCACCCGGTTACATAAACAAATACCAAACAGTTTTTTTAGAACAGAAGATTGTATACATTTTTTTTCAAAATTTTGGTGGAATGACTCACAATATTCCACGGCATTTGGTCGGGTAGCCGAGCGGCCTCCAACCTCGAGGCCAGCACGCATGCGCAAGTCAGTGCTCTCAACGTCGCCATTGGTAAAGTGTCAGACTTCGTTTGGTCCGTTAGGAAATTCCTTAATCTGAGTGAACTAGAAGTCGATGTGCTTACGAGTGTAAAGAGTGAATAGTGTTATGTGCTATGAGTGTATACCCGATAAGGAATAGTGAGCAGAGTGCCCTAGGATAGCGATTTGCCCGGTCGAAGAAGGTGAGTGTGGGAATCCATCTGTTAGCTCAATCAACCTCCTTTTCTCCTCTTCTCCTGTTCCCTGTTTCGTCGTCTCTTCTCGCTCTTCCTCCTCTTCCTCCTCTCCCCGCCGGCTGGAGGTCGTGAATAACCGTCGGTGTAGAGGGAGAAGAGGAGACAGAAGGCGTTCGGGCTGATGTGTGAGAGGAAGTGTTTGGTATTTATTGACTGGAATCGAGTCTCAAGAACTGTTTGGATTCTCTCTCTCTCTCTCTCTCTCTCTCTCTCTCTCTCTTCTCTCTCTCTCTCTCTCTCTCTCTCTCTCTCTCTCTCTCTCTCTCTCTCTCTCTCTCTCTCTCTCTCTCTCTCTCTCTCTCTCTCTCTTCTCTCTCTCTCTTCTCTCTCTCTCTCTCTCTCTCTCTCTCTCTCTCTCTCTCTCTCTCTCTCTCTCTCTCTCTCTCTCTCTCTCTCTCTCTCTCTCTCTCTCTCTATATATATATATCACCCCATATCTAATCAGTAAGTGGTTTTCACATTTGAATTTTTTTTTTTCCATTTAAGTTTGCCTTTGTGGAACTACTATTTTAATGGACATTTTTTTACGTATTATTTTTATCAAGAAACGTTATTAATCCTACAGGTAGATGTTGACTTTCCTTTTGAGTATTTATATAACGTTTTTGGGGTAATTTTATTTTCATTGCATTGCATCATATTAACCATATGGCTTTTTTGAAAGGTCATATTTTTGTTTACCTTGAAGTGTCCTTTTCAAACGTTTTTTTTGGTTAATTTTACATTTGTCGGAGTTCAACTCTTGTTTGGGCTTTATTTGCTCTCTAGTATTTTTGTACGTTGAGACTAACGAGTTCGGGCAATGATGTTCTTTTCAAGATGTATTGGAATAACTAATTAAGGATCTTTTGTTCAGGAAAGTTCACCCGCTAGTGTTTTTATGCCGTAGTTCTGTGTCTGTGAAGTAGATGTAGGCCTATAGAGATGGATTTACGGGTCTGAATTGGAGCAGAAGAGGGTAGGTTGACCTCTGGCCCCTTCCCCCTCTGCCTCCCTCCTCCCTTCCCTCTCTGCCTCCCTCTTCCCTTCCCTCTCGCTCCCCCCCTCCCTCTCGGTCTCCCTCCTCCCCTCCCTCTCGCTCTCCCTCCTCCCCTCTCCCTCTCGCTCCTTCCTCCCCCCTCCCTCTCGCTCCTTCTTCCTCCTTACTCTCGCTCTCCCTCCTCCCCTCCCCCCCCCTCTCGCTCCTTCTTCCTCCTCCTTACCTCTCGCTCTTACTTCCTCTCCTTCTCCCGCCTCCTTCTCCTTCTCCTTCTTTCTTCTTCTTCTTCCTCCCCCTTCCCTCTCCTCTTACCTCCCCCCTCCCTCTACGTTTCCCCTCCCCTTCTCCCTCCCCTCCCACTCCCTCCCTCCCCTCCCTCCCCCTCTCCTTCTCCCTCCGACGTGAAACGGACAAATGCATCGAATAACGGCTTTCATCGGACGCGCCGGACCGTGCTTGCTGGCTTGCTTGCATCTGCTTGTAACGCGACGCAAAGGAACTGACGTCTTTGCCACGGAGGAAGGGAGGGGAAGGCTACGGAGGGGGTCTGGGGGGGTCGAGGGGACGGGGGAGGGATGGAGGGAAGCGAGGGGAAGGGAGGGAAGGCGTGGGGGAGGGTCGAGGAAGGGAGGGAAGGCGTGGGGGAGGGTCGAGGGGGACGGAGGGAGGGAGGAGGGAGGGAGGGAGGGGAGGGAGGGAGGAGGGAGGAGGAGGGAGGGGGGGGAGGGAGGGATGGATAGATGGATGGATAGGGAGATAGATGGAGGATAGATGGATGGATACGATGATGGATAGATGGATGGATATGATGGATAGATGGATGGATAGATGGGATGGATAGATGGATGGATAGATGGATGGATAGATGGATGGATAGATGGATGGATAGATGGATGGATAGATGGATGGATAGATGGATGGATAGATGGATGGATGATATATAGATGGATGGATGGATGGATGGATAAACTAATCGATAGATAGATGGATAAGGAAATAGGTAGATAGGTATATAGATGTGGATGGACGGGAAGGAAGGGGCGCCTCGGAAACATATGGCAGGGGACGTCGGAGGAGGTCGGAGCAGCGGGGAAGAATCGCTCGATCTTATTATTTTTTTCTCCTTTTTTCGTTTTCGTCTTTATATGCCTTTGCCTTTCCTCTTTTTTCCCACTTCTCTTTTTCGTTCTTTACTTGTGTATCGTTATTCGCGTTTTGTATTCGTTTTTGTTTTTGTTTTTCTCTCTCTCTTCTCGTCCTTCTTGTTTTTCTTTTCCTCCTTTCCATCGATGTTTTTTTTTTCCTCCTTTCCATCATCCTCCCTCCCCCGTCCTCCTCCTCTCCTCTTCCCCTCTTCCTCCTCCTCCTCCTCCCTCCCTCTCCTCCCTCCCCTCCCTCCTCCTCCTCTTCCTCCCTCCCCCTCCTCCTCCCCCCTTCCTCCCCCTCCTCCTACCATCCCCTCCTCCTCCTCCTCTCTTTCCTCCTCCTCCCTCCTCCTCCTCTCCTCCTCCTCCCATCCACCCTCCCCTCTTCTCCCCCCCTCCCCTCCCCTCCCCTCCCCTCCCCTCCCTTACCCCCGTCCACATTTTCCTAGTTCCCAAAAAGTCCCATTGCATTTGACCTCTTTGTGTGTGGGGGGGGGGGGATATTTTCGTAAAGTCTATTCCTCCGTTGTTTTGTGTCTTGGATAAAAAGTTACGCGGCCCCCTGTCAATTTATTTTCTCTCTATCTCTCTCTGTTTTTACTCTTGTCGCTCGTTCATCTCGGCTTTTATTTCTTCCTCTCCCTTTTGTCTTTTCTTTGTTTTGTCTTATTTTTTTTTGCGTTTTTACTTGCTCTTCTCTCTCTCTCTTCTCTCTCTCTCTCTCTCTCTCTCTCTCTCTCTCTCTCTCTCTCTCTCTCTCTCTCTCTCTCTCTCTCTCTCTCTCTCTCTCTCTCTCTCTCGTTTCTCTGCGTTCCCCTTTTTCTCTCTCCTTTGTATTTTTCTTAATTTTTTTCTTCACTTTTGTTTTCGTTTATGTATATATATCACCATTTTTCTTCCCTTATCAAGTCGAAAGTGTTTGTCCTGCGTGATTTTGCTTACTTCTAAGGGGTGGGAGGGAGAGGGGGGGGGGGGAAGGAGAGCAAAAACAAGAACAAGAACAGGAGGAGGAGGAAGAGGACAACAAAAACAAGAAGGAAGAAGAGGAGGACAAAATAAAACAAGGAGGAGGAGGAGGAGAACAAAAAAAAAAAAAGGAAGAGGAGGAGGAGAACAAGAAGAAGGAAGAGGAAAGAACAAGAACAAGAACCAGAGGAGGGGGGGGGAGGTGGCCTTGGGAACGTGGGATCGGCCTCCAGGTTTACGTGTCGTGACCGTGACGCAACTCGCCAGGTCGCTCAGTCGAGGGAAGCGCCTCGGGGGGGGGGGGGGGGGGGTATCGGCGGTCAGGCCATATGCCCGTGCTCCGATAAGGGCGCTCCCCCCTCCCCCTCCCTCTCCCTCTCCCCTTTCCTCTCCCCTTTCCTCTCCGTGGTCCGATAAGAGCCCTCCTCCTCCCCCTCCCCTCCTTCCCCCCTCTCCCCACCGTTGTCTGATAAGAGCGCTTTCTCTCCCCCCTCCTCCCCCTCCGTTGTCTGATAAGAGAGCCCCCCGCCTTCCCCCCCATCCCCCCACCCTTTTCCCCGCTATCGTCTTTTAATCAGTCGTCTGATTGTTTTTCTGTGTCGATGCGATGATTTGGGGAAGGGTTGGGGACCGAACCTCTGTCTGTATAAAGTTTTTTTTTTATTGTTATTCTTTGGGAGATGTAGGCCTACGATAGGTTGCAGAGTATTGTGGTTGTTGTTTTATTATTGCTATCATCATTATCATCATCAATACTAGTACTATTATTATTATTATTATCATTTTTATTGATATTCTTATTATTATTATCATTTTTATTGATATTATTATTATTATTATTGTTGTTATCATTATTATTTTTATTATTACTCGTATTATTATCATTATTATTATTATTATTATTATATTATTATTGTTATTATTTTTAATTTGATTATTATTGTTATTAATTATAGATTATTATCATTAATTATTACGCAATAAAGGTGTGTTGACATTACTTTTTAATCGGGAATTTGGGGTAAGCTTATCGCCCGCCGGTCTCCTCTCCTGCCATGACGCAGCTGATACGGATGCCTTATCGCGGAGATAACATTTCTTAGGGGTGACGTAAGGGTCACATTTAGCCTCTGGGCGGTGATTGTGCGGTGTGTTGTGTGTGTGTGTGTGTGTGTGCGTGTGCGTGTGCGTGTGCGTGTGCGTGTGCGTGTGTGTGTGTGTGTGTGTGAGTGTGTGTGGTACGCATGTTGTGTACATGTTGTGTGTACTTACGAGGTGGTGTACCGGGGGCATGTGTGTTTGCGCATTAGTATGTGTGTGCTTCCGTGCTTGTGCAAGCGGCGCGTTTGCGGGCAGGAGTGGGCGGCGGTCTGCCTTGAGCCGGGAGCAGGCGCCCACGTGGTATGGGGGTTACCGGGGCCAGTTCCCCCGAGGAGGAGGAGGAGGAGGGGGAGGAGGAGGGGGGGGGGGGCAGTGTTGGGGTTGTTCTAGGCTTATCGCCATCATGATCAGCATGATTATTATTATGAGTTATTGTTAATGTTGTTGTTGTTATTGTTATTTTTATTATTGTTAATGCTGTTGTTATTATTGTTATTGTTATTATTATTATTATTATTATTATTATTATTATTTTTTTATTATTATGTTATTATTATTATTATTATTATTATTATTATTATTATTAATATTTTTCATGTTATTGTATTTTTTGTATTATTTATTATTATTATTATTATTATTATATTATTATTTATTATTATTATTATTATTATTATTACTACTACTACTCCTGCGCCTTCCCTCCCGTTCGCCTCCTTCCAAGGCGAGCGCGAAGCAGGAGGCCGGCCGTGTAT